TTTTGGTCTCATCTGACCACAACACTTTCACCCAGTTCTCCTCTGAATCACTCAGATGTTCATTGGCAAACTTCAGACGGGCCTGTATATGTGCTTTCTTGAGCAGGGTGACCTTTGTGGGCGCTGCAGGATTTCAGTCCTTCACGGCGTAGTGTGTTACCAATTGTTTTCTTGGTGACTATGGTCCCAGCTGCCTTGAGATCATTGACAAGATCCTCCCGTGTAGTTCTGGGCTGATTCCTCACCGTTCTCATGATAATTGCAACTCCACGAGGTGAGATCTTGCATGGAGCCCCAGGCCGAGGGAGATTGACAGTTATTTTGTGTTTCTTCCATTTGCGAATAATCGCACCAACTGTTGTCACCTTCTCACCAAGCTGCTTGGCGATGGTCTTGTAGCCCATTCCAGTCTTGTGTAGGTCTACAATCTTGTCCCTGACATCCTTGGAGAGCTCTTTGGTCTTGGCCATGGTGGAGAGTTTGGAATCTGATTGATTGATTGCTTCTGTGGACAGGTGTCTTTTATACATGTAACAAACTGAGATTTAAGAGTGTGCTCCTAATCTCAGCTCGTTACCTGTATAAAAGACACCTGGGAGCCAGAAATCTTTCTGATTGAGAGGGGGTCAAATACTTATTTCCCTCATTAAAATGCAAATCAATGTATAACATTTTTGACATGCGTTTTTCTCACTGTTCAAATAAACCTACCATTAAAATTATAGACTGATCATTTCTTTGTCAGTGGGCAAACGTACAAAATCAGCAGGGGATCAAATACTTTTTTCCCCTCACTGTACACCTGTTCTGAATGTCCCCAGAGTCTGCAACCCCACTAAGCAAGGGGCACCACCAAGCAAGTGGCACCATGAAGACCAAGGAGCTCTCCAAACAGGTCAGGGACAAAGTTGTGGAGAAGTACAGATCAGGGTTGGGTTATAAAAAAATATCTGAAACGTTGAACATCCCACGGAGCACCATTAAATCCATGATTAAAAAATGGAAAGAATATGGCACCACAACAAACCTGCCAAGAGAGGGCCGCCCACCAAAACTCACGGACCAGGCAAGGAGTGCATTAATCAGAAAGGCAACAAAGAGACCAAAGATAACCCTGAAGGAGCTGCAAAGTTCCACAGCGGAGATTGGAGTATCTGTCCATAGGACCACTTTAAGCCGTACACTCCACAGAGCTGGGCTTTACGGAAGAGTGGCCAGAAAAAAAACATTGCTTAAAGAAAAAAATAAGCAAACACATTTGGTGTTCGCCAAAAGCCATGTGGGAGACTCCCCAAACATATGGACAAGGTACTCTGGTCAGATGAGACTAAAATTGAGCTTTTTGGCCATCAAGGAAAACACTATTTCTGGCGCAAACCCAACACCTCTCATCACCCCAAGAACACCATCACCACCAAATGTTTTTCATCGGCAGGGACTGAGAAACTGGTCAGAATTGAATGAATGATGGATGGCGCTAAATACAGGGAAATTCTTGAGGGAAATCTGTTTCAGTCTTCCAGAGATTTGAGACTATGACGGAGGTTCACCTTCCAGCAGGACAATGACCGTAAGCATACTGCTAAAGCAACACTCTAGTGGTTTAAGGGGAAACATTTAAATATCTTGGAATGTCCTAGTCAAAGCCCAGACCTCAATCCAATTGAGAATCTGTGGTATGACTTAAAGATTGCTGTACACCAGCGGAACCCATCGAACTTGAAGGAGCTGGAGCAGTTTTGCCTTGAAGAGTGGGCACAAATCCAAATAGCTAGATGTGCCAAGCTTATAGAGACATACCCCAAGAGACTTGCAGCTGTAATTGCTGCAAAAGGTGGCTGTACAAAGTATTGACTTTGGGGGCGGGGGGGGGGGGGGGGGGGGGGGGGGGGTGAATAGTTATGCACGCTCAAGTTTTCTGTTTTTTATGTCTTATTTCTTGTTTGTGTCAAATCAAATGATACAAATCCCCCAGAAATCTGACTCCAGGTTTACTTCGATATGATGGTTATTATACCAATATTTGTACATAATGGTGCTTCCACATCCATTTCTTGCATAACTAATTTTACAGACACAAAAAGATCCCACCATGTAGAACGAACAAATTATCTGTCGGCATTTAAAAAATTGTAATGAAACTTCCTGTTTCCATCATAGCTGTCATTATTTTCTTTATACATTATGACTTTACTCACATAAAAACTGTCAATGGAAACGTGGTTTCTGGTTCCAATACCCTGTTCTGGATCCACTGTTGAGTTCATTGACTGTAATGTAACTAGAAGAAATTAGGGAGTGTCTCGCTTCCTCATCCGTCTTTGGTTTGGGTCAATGCGTAGACACGTACAGTACCAGTAAAAAGTTTGGACACACCTACTCATTCAAGGGTTTTGATTTATTTTTACTATTTTTTACATTGTAGAATAACAGTGAAGACAACAAAAATATGAAATAACACATATGGAATCATGTAGTAACCAAAAAAGTATTAAACAAATCAAAATATATTTTATATTTTATATTCTTCAAAGTAGCCACCCTTTGCCTTGATGACAGCTTTGCACACTCTTGGCATTCTCTCAACCAACTTCACCTGGAATGCTTTTCCAACAGTCTTGAAGGAGTTCCCACATATGCTGAGCACTTATTGGCTGCTTTTCCTTCACTCTGCGGTCCGACTCATCCCAAACCATCTCAATTGGGTTGAGGTCTGGTGATATTGGAGGCCAGGTCATCTGATGCAGCACTCCATCACTCTCCTTCTATTACACAGCCTGGAGGTGTGTTGGGTCATTGTCTTGTTGAAAAACAAATGATAGTCCCAATAAGAGCAAACCAGATGGGATGGCGTTGAGAGAATGCCAACAGTGTGCAAAGCTGTCATCAAGGCAAAGGGTGGCTACTTTGAAGAATCTAAAATATATTTCGAGTTGTTTAACACTGTTTTGGTTACTACATGATTCCATATGTGTTATTTCATAGTTTTAATGTCTTCACTATTATTCTACAATGTAGTAAATAGTAAAAATAAAGAAAAACCCTTGAATGAGTAGGTGTATCCAAACTTTTGACTGGTACTGTACATCAATGTGTTTTGTTTGTCTTGAATGAGTAGGTGTATCCAAACTTTTGACTGGTACTGTACATCAATGTGTTTTGTTTGTCTTTATACTGTTGAAGTCGGAAATGTACATACACCTTAGCCAAATACATTTCACAATTCCTGACATTTAATCCTAGTAAAACTTCCCTGTCTTAGGTCAGTTAGGATCACCACTTTATTTTAAAAATTCAAAATACAAACACTGAAAAGTTCCACAAAAAAATTGCATGACCAAATATAGCATATTTCAAATGGAGTACTTCAAAACGACCAGAAAACACTTGTAGAATGAGTAGATCACTACATCAACGAATTGATAGCATCATAACTCAGAACAGTAAATCAAAGTAAATTACATTCACTACCATTAAACAAACATTTCCCTTTTCAAAAACATTACAGGCTAAGACAGGCTCCTGGATCTCCTCTTCAATGAGGTCACCCTTGATCCAGCACCATATGTGGGGAAGCAGTGCGTGCTGTCCATCCCAGGACCCCTGTTTGCCCAGTGTGAGAGGCCTGAAAAGGAGGAGGTCATAGCTGGATTTGTCTCCCACTTCAATCTTGGGGGTGACTGAAGCCAATTGGGTGACTGAAGCCTGCTTGATACATGGGTCCTCCTCCTCTCCCACTACCCCCCCCCCCCCCCCCCCCCCCATCAATCTCTGTAGTTGGTTGCATTTCCTGAAGCCTAAGTAATCCATTTGTATGTGATATGATATCAAATTTTGTTACTTTGTATTGTTTTTTTCAAGCCTTCGGACGGGAGATGAGTGTTCCAAATTGTACGAATCATTGGGTTCCTGCACACTGAATAGGGCGTTCCCTTTCAGTCCTTATATACTGCTACACAAACAAATTCATATAAGCATGATTTACATGATTCATTATTCATTATTAATGTTGGTTCCTGCATGTGACTGACTGATACCTAACAAGGCTTCTTCTCTCAAAGTTGGGACCTTGAAACTGAGATACTCCTTTTGTCACCCAGAGCAATGTTCTGGGCGTACTGCCAAATTGCTTATCAGCGATATTATGGTTTACTCCTGTGTGTAGTCAATCCGTCACTCCCATGAACCCAACCGAAACATGTAATTACAAAGCAGCATTATTCTAAACATATGATCTGATACACACAGAGAAAATGTACATCGCACTACCTTCTTTTATCACTCTTGTGATAACTATTGCTATATTGTAAGGTAAGCAATCGGGTTGCATTGGCATATGTTCTGCACTAACTGTCCCTGGGACATCAACTAGTCAAAATATATAACCTGTTGTTTAACAAATCTGCTAGGGCCTTCTAAACTTGTCAGACAAAAACAACCTTCAATTATTACTCATCATCCTTATCTACAAGGGGAAAGGGAAGCTCATCCAGCGTCGGCAGCTCATCAGTCTCACCATCCTCTTGAGGAGCATTAAACATGATGGCTGTTGAGACCTTATCAGCCAGGGAGGTACATATAGCCTTACAGCATGTCAGTAATACAATTAGGCAGACTAAGCAAAAAACACACGCTGCAGCCATTGGGAAATTTGGGATCCCCAGGGATTTCAATCAAGTTGCAAGCGTCCACTCTGACTGTGGAGAATTGTTCTTAGCCACAGTGGCAATGTATTCGGCAAGATCAGTAACATTAGAGTACCGATCTGGGACAAAAGTGCAACACTCATCTCCAATTGTTGCACAAGTGCCCCATTGACCAGCCAAAAGATAGTCAAGAGCCAATCTGTTTTGCGGAGCCAATTTACACAATTATTTTAGTTCCCCATTCAATTGTTCCAGGGCCTTTCGAGTAACATTGTCAATTTTCTCTATGTGTTAAGAAATGTCACAAATTTGGTCTAGGGCACATGCAACTCCATACCCAGGGAAAAAAACACCAAAGAACCTGGAGACAGGTGCCTGAGTGAGAGTGATGTCAGCCAGAGACCTCTTATCTCTCCTCATTCCAGGAGGTCTGTAGTCTGTAAACAGAGCCTTCAGATTCTTGTCATTGTTTGGAACGGTTCTCATAGCTGTCACCACAAACCCAACAGTACAAGTACCTCTCCAGTTCAGGGGAAGGCTTGGTAAGCCATCTTGCCACACAACCAATAGGTGCCATTTGGGGCTCCTCTCAAAGGGATAATTACATTATAGACTGAAATACCATAAGTAACATTACCAGGTTCCCCAGTGTCGGCATTGTTAAAGGTTAATTACAGATATTGGATCCGTTATAATACATTGTACAATTACATTCTTGTTCACCCAAATGATGATCTCCTTCTCCTCTAATACACCAAGGAGCTGTAATCACTCCTGCTACTGAAATGGGTTGGAGTAAAATATTACCTGGCCTAGCAAAAGACGTTGGGCCTGTGTGGTTGTATAATGCAGAAAACGTCAAGGGGTCAGGGTTACGTGGTATCTCTACTATGAATGATACCTCCATTTGCATAGTCAGATTTACCCCCATGGGAACTCCCACAAGTGGTAAACCTGCTCCTACCTTAACTGGCCCCAACCCACACACCCAACACTATTTTTGTCCAGATGTAAGGTTAGCAACCATTTCTGCTCTAGAGAGGAACAGATTGTCCTCATGGTTATGAGGGCCCAGCAGGGCTCTCCTTCTCCGATGACAATTTACTTCTGGGCCACTACTCCGGGCCTACATTGGTCCCTTTGGCTCAGGACCCCTCTCACCCTCTGTCAGGTTTCCTACAAGAGGACAACCCACTGTTCTTATTAGCACTCCTGTGCTAATGCAGAGGATGGCCACACTGCACCACCATAACTGGTGAGGCCCCATCTTCTACTGGATCAGGAACTCGTCTGCAGTGCGACACGTGGATCCAGGTATCTCTCTCAGCAACCTTCACTGCAGTGGGGGTGGTCAGAAGAACTTGGTAAGGCCCTCTCCAACTGGGGTCCTTCCAATTCTTTCTCCTGAAGTCTTTGACCCCCACGAAATGACCTGGGTTCAGACAGTGCCCAGCTCCACCTGTCAGGTTCGGCAAAGATGCCTTCACCCGGGGGAAGAGAGTGTTAAGAACACTGTTAAGGGTGACACAATACTCAACCATGTCTTTTTCCATTCCTTGCAGGGACAACCTGTTCTGGGGAAAAGGTGTATTAGTCATCCTCATGGGAAGGCCAGTCAGCACCTCGTGTGGAGAGAGACCTGTGACTGTGTGGGATCTGCCTCTCATACTCATCAGTGCCAATGGAAGCACTTTTACCCATGTCAGGCTTGTTTCACCAATTAGTTTAATCAATTTTGTTTTCAGAGTTTGGTTCGCCCTTTCTACCGCACCCCCAGATTGAGGATGATAGGCACAATGGGTTCTCAAATCAATCTGCAAAGCCTCTGACTGAACAATCTCATTCACAAAATGTTGACCATTGTCGGAAGAGATTTTTGATGGCAGACCCCACCTGGGTATGATCTCTCTCATGAGTGCTTTTGCCACAGCAGCCGCTGTGGCTCTCCTGCAAGGGAAAGCTTCAATCCATTCAGAAAACATGTCAACAATCACCAAAATACTTGTTCCCCTCACAAGGGGTCAACTCAATGAAGTCCATCATTAAGTACTCAAAAGGTCCTTCAGGCCAGGAGTTAGGCAGCCTGTAACAGAGACTAAACAAGATTACTGTGTGCAATTCGTTTTCCAGATGAGATCAAAAACCGTCTATTCTTCCACAATGTTCCAAAATCATGCACTACTCCAAACACATATCTACTATCAGTGTAAATGTTAACAGAGCTGTCCTTTCCCAAAATACAAGCTCTGGTCAAGCCAAAAAGTTCTGCCGCCTGTGCAGATAAGTGTGAGGGGAGTCTAGCACTCTCCACTGTTTGCAAAACAGTCACAACAGCATATCCAACCAATAGATCCCCTTTTACATTTGTCTGAGCAGATCCATCTACAAAGAACTCAAAGTCTGGATTTTCTAATGGGGTGTCTCTCATGTCCAACCTAGGGCTACAGTCAACTTCAATAGCTAAATCACAGTCATGGTCTTCACCGGCATCTGCTGTAGGGAGAAGGATTGAAGGGTTAAGAATTGAACATCATTTCAGAGTAACATGGGACATTGTCAACAGAATGTTCTGATAGTCTAGCAGTCTCGCAGGCGTCAAATGAGCAGTTCCTGCCTGTGTAATAATTGCCTGCAGAGCATGGGACATATGTACGTTTAGAGGAGACATTGCCACATGTCAAAACTGCCTCAGTAGCAGCCGCTACTGATCTCAAACAGGAAACCATTCCCCTGATCACAGTATCCAGTCTTTTAGAATAATAACCAACAGGTCTATATCCCACCCCATGATGCTGTGTCAAAACTGCTGACATAAACCCACCCATCTCTTAAACAAAGAGATGGAAGGGTTTAGTATGGTCTGGCAAATCCAAGCAAGGGGTAGACATGAATTTTTGTTTCAATTTTACCAATGCCAACTCAGCCTCAGCAGTCCAGACCACAACTTCACTTGCCTCAATCTTTCTCCCATAAATACAATCCTGCAGCGGTTGAACTATCTCTGCATAGTTTTTCAACCACAGACGACAGTAACCAGCCACACCCAACAAAGACATCATGTGGTGCTTGGTAACAGGTTTAGGCAAAGCTATAATTGCCTCTAATCTATCTTTGGAGAGGGCGCGACCCTCAGAAGTAATGTCATGACCCAAATATTTAACGGAGTTCCGGCATAATTGCCACTTACTGGGGGAAACTTTATGACAATTTTCTGCCCAAAAAAATCAACAATGCCCAAGTGTCCTCATGACATATCTTCTCTGATTGTGAGCAAACCAACAAATCGTCAACGTACTGAACCAAAATACTCCCTCCAGGAGCAAAAAAACCTCTAGGTTTCGAGACATTTCTTGGGCAAAGATGGCAGGTGATTCAACGTAGCCTTGAGGCATCACTGTCCGTGCCTATTTTTTACCAAGAAATGTCAACGAGAACCACTTCTGTGACTCTTCAGCCACAGGGATGCTAAAGAAATCATTAGCTAAATCAATTACTGAAAAACAACAACTACCTGGAGGCACCTGGGATAAAATGGTAACAGTGTTAGGCACCAGGGGTGCTCTAGCATGTACAGCATCGTGTCCTATTCTAAGGTCTTGCACAAAACAATAAACACCAGATGGTTTCCTAACAGGTAAAATTGGTGTGTTACAGTTCCAATTTGGGCAGGGAACCAGAGCGCCTCTTTCAACTAACACAATATGAATGGGAATGATACCCCTTTCGGCTTCTTTGCTTAGAGGGTCCTGATCTTCGTAAAGTCTGTGGGTGCTTTTTGGAACAACTGCGTCTAATGTTGGTCTTTTTTTATTTTTTTTTATACTTTGTTTATTGAATTTTCAGTACCAGCATTTAGTAAATAATTGCACTTGAAAGTTATTTGGTATGAATATGGAACAACAATTTGAAGACAACGATACAGCAAAACATAGAGAGACAGACATGAAAGAAAAAATAGACATTAAACACATAAATAAGATAAAACACAAAAAAAAAAAAAAAAAAAAAAAAGGAAATATATCTGTTTTGATCCAGTTGTTATAGGTCAGCTAGCACAGTTATTACCGTCCTTAACATCCGAGATGTCGTATATGCACATACCAGGCTTCTTACATCACCAATATATAAATACACATCACTCTGGAACTGCAGGGAAATGTATTCTTTTAACATAAGAAAAGAAGGGAGCCCACTTTGCATAGAATTTGTCTACAGACCCATTGAGTGTCTGTTTTATTTTCTCCAACTTTATGCAATTCAAAATAGATTTAATCCAAAGAGCATGAGAAGGGGCTGCAGGGGATTTCCATCTAAGTAAAATTAATCGTCTCGCTAACAACGTGACAAAGGCAATTACATCCTTATTCATTTTGGTCAATTGTATTGTGGGTAAGGAAACTCCAAATAATGCAATGAGAGGGTCTGGCTCGATCTGTGTGCCGCTTAATTCTGAGAGTGTGTTAAAGATGTCTTTCCAGAAACCAACAAGAGATGGGCAGCACCAAAACATGTGCACATGATTAGCAGGGGACTGGTTACATCGAACACAATTAGGGTTCACATCCTTGTAAATTTTTGATAGTCTTGCTTTGGTCCAGTGGGCCCTATGAATGAGTTTGCATTGGATGAGGCCGTGTCGAGCGCAAATAGAAGAGCTATGTACCCTTTTGAGTGCCCCTTCCCATAGTTCATCAGATATTTCCTCACCCAGTTCCTCCTCCCAAGAGGATTTGATATTGTTTAATGAGATGGCTTGTAGTGAGCAAATTTGACTATAGATTATTGACAATGTGCCTTTCTGATTAGGAAGTGGGGTGAGAAATGTGTCGAACTGTGTTCCACCAGAAAGGTTGGGGAATCCTGGATCTATGCTGCGGACATAACTCCGGACTTGTAAGAACCTAAAAAAATGATGTCTGGGGAGACCAAATGTAGCTGATAATTGTTGAAACGTACTAAATGTATTGTTAGTATACAGATCTCTGAATCTTTTAATACCGAGATTAGACCATGTTGAGAAAGCACCATCAATCATAGATGGGGGAAAAGCTGGGTTTGAGGCTACCGGAGCCAAGGAAGAGGTTGTTTGAAACCCAAAGTGGCGCCTAAATTGATTCCAGATCTTCAATGTTGTTTTGACACATATATTATTGGTGAAGGAGGAGTAAGGGCCTGTAACAGAGGAGTGAGCGAGGGAAGACAATGATGCCGGTGTAGACGAGGCAGCCTCCATCTCCAGCCAAGTTGGGGGTGGGAATATCACTCTGCTCTGCAACCAGTACTGAATGATCCTAAGGTTAGCGGCCCAATAATAGAATCTGAAATCTGGTAGAGCTAGACCGCCGTCTGGTTTGGGCCTCTGCAAGAGCTGTTTTCGTATCCTAGGAGGCTTTTTGTCCCATATAAAGGGTAGAATTAGGCCGTCGATCTTTTTGAAAAATGTATTGAGTAGAAATATTGGAAGGCACTGATAGAGGTATAAGAATTTAGGGAGAGTATTCATTTTAATAGAGTTAATTCTAGCAACTAAGGAGAGGTGTAGCAAAGACCACCGTTCCAAATCGTCCTTAGTACGGGTTAAGAGAGGAGCAAAGTTGGCTTGAAAAAGGTTTTCAAACCTAATTGTGACATGTACCCCGAGATAAATAAAACTACTGTGAGCTATTTTAAATGGCAAGTTATGTAAAGGGGATTTTTTTGCAGCCATGTTAAGTGGCATCAATTCACTTTTACTGAGATTTAGTTTATACCCTGATAAGTGACCGAAGGATGCGAAAGTAGCAAGGGCAGCAGGGACAGAGACAGAAAGATTGGATGTGTATATTAATAAATCATCTGCATATAAAGACAGTTTGTGTTCGTGTCCGTATCTGACTATGCCTTTGATGAGGGGGTTGGAGCGAAGTGCTATTGCAAGTGGCTCTATGGCGAGGGCAAACAGTAAGGGACTTAAAGGGCAACCCTGACGTGTCGATCTTTGCAAAGGGAAGCGATCTGATTGAGTGTTATTAGTCCTGACAGAGGCTTGGGGGGATGAGTACAGAAGTTTTATCCAGGTC